TGCCAACCCATGACCCAAGAGGTTGCTGGTTCGATTCCCAGTCAGGGCACATGCCCAGGTTGTGGGCCAAATCCCCAGTGGGGGGCATGCAGGAGGTGGCCAATGGATGTTCTCTCTCATTGATGTTTCTCTCTCTCTCTCTCTCTCCCTTCCTCTCTCTCTAAAATCAATAAAGAAAAAAAAGTGATAGCCCAAAATATAATAAGTTCTCCATTCACCTTCTCCTCCTAGTTGGCAAAACAAAGATTCATAACTAAAATCTTCAGAATGTGAAATAGTGGCAGGGAATAGCTCTACCCTGTACCAAGTTATGTTGTCCCAAGGTGAGCTCTGGAAAATGCAGAAAGTCACTAATAAGACAAGATAGGTTTGAATGACTTACCTGACATAAAATGCTCTTTAGCATCCATCTATTCTCAAGAAAGAAATGGAATGCAATAGAATACCAGTCTGGTATGTTCTACCTCCTTAGCAAAATGATCTGCTGAGACTTGGAGATAAAAACAAGCCAGGGTGGCCCTGGCCAGTTTGGCTCAGCAGTTTGAGTGTCAGCCTGCGCACCAGAGTGTCCTGGGTTCAGTTCCCGGTAGGGGCACGTACCAAAAACAAAACAAAAAAAAACAAGCCAATGTGGTAGATCAGTCAAAGTATCAAGAAGATTTGGTGAAAGAAGTTGAGAAGAACGATAGTTTGCAGAGAATGGGAATTATGGCTCCTCTGAAATAAAGTTACTTCATTCAATAATTCAAATGTACTCAAATGTTCTATATTTGGATCATAATCTATGATGACTCAAAGGCATTGCCAGATAAAATTTACTGATGCAGTAAGGCCTGGTTCTCTCTAGCAAAGTGAAGTGAAAAAAAAAAAAAGTCAATTGTTTAGGTAAGTCAGCCCAAAACAGTGGTTCTCAACCTTCCTAATGCCGCCACCCTTGAATACAGTTCATGTTGTGGTGACCCCCCCACCCCAACCATAAAGTTATTTTTGTTGCTACTTCATAACTGTAATTTTGCTACTGTTATGAATCGCCATTGGAAATATGTGTTTTCCGATGGTCTTAGGCGACCCACAGGTTGAGAACCGCTGGCCTAAAATATCAAGACAATGGAGACAGTAACTGGGCTTTACTTAATTCTACCTGCCTGGACTCATTTGCATACTTAGATAGGCCCTAGATCCCAGTGGAAATTACCTTCCCACAAAAACACAGAGGAATCAAACTAAATCATACAACTAGTAACATAGAAACCATAGGTGGGAATTGTATAGCTTCCAAAACCATCTTTCCCCGACTTACCTATAATGATACCTTTGGTTACTCCCTCTAATTGAGCCTACTGTGTTTGGAAAAGAATCTTGTCCTCACTCAGCATTATGCTCTAACATTTATCTGATATAATGAGTAAAACCCACATTTTCTCATCCTAAAACATTGGTGTTAGTGATCATTTATGAAATATCAAGACATTTCTGGGAATGTGATTAGAAGAAGCACAAATCTGCCTTTATAGTACCCAATTAGTATCAGGCAAATAGAAGATATGCCTTAAATCTTTACCTGAACACATTAGTTGAATCATATATCCTTTACCTAGATAATTTTCATTCTGCACTTTGCTCTCTAGGTCTGGTCAAAATGAAGCTCAAGAAAATCTATGACATTATGAATAGGGCTACTTCACACACGAGATCTTTTTTATGCAATTTCCTTCTATTAAAATGTAACTCAATATAAAATTTTTTCTCCTAAAAGTGCCTGAATGAGGATTGGCTTGAGAATTAGAGATGAATTTGAGCTGTGACCTTAAAAACTGGAGAGCTGATGACACCCCCTCTAGTATTCTCTCATGATTAAAAAGCCAGAACAAAAACCTTAAACCAAACATTAAGGAGAGGGTCTCTTTCTTTTCCCCAAATGTGGGTAATGTGAAAATACAAACTATTTCCATCTAGCACAAACATGAGAGGAAAACAAAACCAAACCAAAAGGAAATTAAGAGGCAACTGGCCATACGTATATCTCAAACTAAAACATAAATAAAAGGGTCAACACACACACACACACACACACACACACACGTACACACATAAATAATTTATTTATTCAGGAAAACATTAACTTCTGGTTTCTTTTATTAAGATAACAATATGAAACTGGTTCAGGGACAAATTTTGGGTACTCAGAATGGAATTCTAAGGCATGACTAGAATAGCTCCATTATGGTCATCTATGGGAATTTGTCATAATGGAACAGAAGCACACATAAGAATAATTATCTTCTCTCCCAAAAGTTCCAAGCATAACAAATTGTGTTTCTAGAAATGTTTGTTTTTATATTACACAAATCAACTGTATATTGAATATGGCCTGAAATTAAAGTAATTGTTAATTTAGTAGTCAAGCACTTGGTCTCGCAACACCTTGCATGCATTGTTGTTTCACATTACCAACAAGGTTTTGTTTTCAAATGCCCCAAGGCCAGTCACTGAGACCAAACATCCACTCTGTAAGAAACTCCAAGCAGCAAGAACGTTTAAACACACAACATCATCAGGACTCCAGTGTTCACTGCATCTCCTCTCATTTTAGAATTTTATTTTCTTATATACTTACCAGTTTTTGTTATATTGTTTTCATTTTGATGAGTCACAGTTTTCAGGAGCACACCAATTTATTAATCATAGAAGACTTCTCATATCTATTCTGCTCAGTCTAGCAGGGTATGTTTACCTTACATGTTCTGAACAATGTAACAATTTCTTTTAAAATATTCCTTTTCAAAATACTTACAAACATATGTTTTGGTAGAATACAATCTATGTCTGATACATATATGTGTGCTAAATATGTTTGATAATCATGTTTATATAGGGTAGTAGCAAACTCAATAAATACTGATTTGAAAGTGAAAATACTTTAAGTTTACACATGCCATGAACAATTCATCAATGTCACTCATTGTTTTTCAAAGTATTATCTTCTCCAAATGAAGCGTAATTATAAAACTGAAGAAATATAACAGTCATGTTATTAGCAAATATGTTTATTCACTTTTATTAGAAGGGGGACTTCTATAACAATTGTGTGAAATAATTTTGTCTGGAAGAATGGAAGAGTTCAGGGAAGTATTTCTTTGGGAACAAGAAAGCCTCCTTGTGTTTTGGAAACTGTAATATGTATGTAGCCAGAACTATCAGAGAGATGAGTGGCCTGGTTAGGGTCCTTGTAAATGCCTATCATAAAAGTAACTAAAAAGAAATCAAACCTTACTTGGGAAGAGATAAAACTTTTTTATTATTTGGTTTTAGGTGGTAAATTAGGCACAAGCCTCAGCTCTCCTTGTCCATAAAGATTTTGTTAGTCAGTGGTAAACTGCTGAAGGAAGCATCTCCTTCCCCATTGGAAAACAAGTAACACTATGAAATCTGAAAGGCAATTCCTTTTCCGTATTAAATTCTAAATAATTTATTTATGATCGAATTTACAGATTTCTTCCTGGGAGATGTTATAATGATGCATCTTTCAGAGGAACTACATCATAGTCTAAATGTTTGTTAGCTACCTACCAAGATATCCCTTTGCCATCTCACTAAAGTAAAATTAAGTTGAATAAACCCCACACGATGCAACATTAAAAACCAAACAAACAAACAAAAAAACCCCACCTCCTGTTAAATTAGCCTTTTTTAGTTAATTAAATAAATTAGGTAAAATGTCACAGAAAGTATTCATGTCAGAAATATAAGATTATGTATTGTCACTTTTAAGTAACAAGGTAATTTAGAGCTACTTGAAAGTTTATTGACTAAATGTGAGTCATGAATCTTCATTCTGAGAAGCAGTTACATATAAATATATTAGAAACCTGCTCCTTCAACTCTGTTCAAGACTGTTAAAATAAAACAGACAAGAAATCACAGTTACACCCTAAATAACTTTATATGTATCACTGGTTGCTATGACAGTTTACAACATGAAAACCATCACATATAATATGGTTAGTGCCCATAATCACAGAGAAAACCACATAAAACATTAATCCCCAAAGATGAGCATTTATAGTCCTTTCTAACAAATCCTGTACATGGTGTATTCAGATCTACTTAAAAGATATATCAAAATTTACTCCTGAATTTTAAACCTTTGTTTTTAACTAACATACAAACCTACAGATAAAACACAAAAAAAGTTTTTCATATTTATTTATAAACTAAAAAAATGTGAATTTTATAGTCACCTTCACTTTTCTATATATGCATTGACCCTGAGATATTTCCTCTTTCCTGGCTCAAATAAAAGCAACATTAAGTTATTTTACACTGTAATTTAAAGTTATAAAGAGTAACACTGAAGTTGTGTCTGACTGGGTTCTATCCTACCCCCAAAAATATAATGTGAGTCAAATATTTGTTTAAAAAACTCACTGCATCATTTAGAGCATTTCTCTATCACCTGATGGGAAGGCTTTCTGAGAGATTATGATATAGCATATTGCAAGCTTATTATAAACAAATAGTATATTTTCTAAAGCTATAAAATTCATAATTTTTTACAGTATCCCAAAATTGGATTTACTTCTAATCATTATCTATTTAGCAAAGTACTTTAATAGGAGGATTTGGTAGTCTTGTAAATAGGCACAAATAAATTAATCTTTATTATTTTTAACAAAAACTGCAAAATCTATGGTTTTGATTTATATTTAACTATTTCACAACTGGCCCAAATCTTAATGGTGTCATTCTCCACTCCTCCCACTCCCACCCTTCCAACCCCATTCTAAGTTTCCTTTTAGTGATTATTTAAAAACACTGAAGCCTCTTCATGAACTTTTTGTGCTAAGCATTTGCTTAGAAATCTTACTAATATTAGGGGTAGAAAATGAGTCTTGGGTTAACCAGTTAGGACAAATCCTTAAGTGTGGATCTAGAATGGGAAAATCATAGGGAGGTCCCTGTGGTCTTTGAGAAAGTTGGAAGGACTTGAGAAATCTCACCTTTTGAGCTGCTTTGGAAGGACTCTTGTTTTTGCTGCCTTTGGGTCTTCCCCTGGGTCTCTTAGGAGAGGGCTCACCGGTTGGCTCCTAATTGTGGAGGAAAAAAAGAAATGCTGTTGTGGCAAATGTCTGCAAGAAATTGACCCTGACTCTATGGTTACATTTTCTGTATGTGCTGCTCCACCAAACTGTTGGAACACACTCTGTTCAAGCATAAATAGTGATGATGGTACAGAGTTTTCAGAAAGGGGAGATAACTATACTTTTAATCCAAAGATTCAAAGAAGAAATTGTATTTTACATATGAAAACTAGATTCTATTTCAACCCTATGAAGGTAACACAGGGTGACAAGTTTCCATGTTCTAAAATAAAGTCATACATTAAGGTGAAAATGTTGCATGGCATCTCAGCAATAAGCATTTTACACAAATACTACTAACCATTGTACTAGCATTTCAAACAGAAATACGAAGCTAACACCATAAATATTTCAACAATCTTCCCCACTGAAAGATGGTTTTCAGTCATCTCTACATATCTGCATTGTAGGTCAATACATTGAGTGAAATACTGGAGCAATTATCCAAGTTCTTCAACTTAAAACAACTCCATTCCCCTTAAAATTTCCAAATAATTATGGTAAATCTGTTGTGGGAGGTTTTGCTTGAATTATCTAGATAATTGCTTCAATTCTCCACTTCCTCTTAGAGATTCAAACATGGTCTCTCGTCTAAATTTAAATATCTCTTGATAAAAATGAACAATTTCTCCAAAACTTTCTTTTGAGAAAACTTCTATGGGGGCGAACTGGAGAAAACTAAAGGGGGTGGGGGGGGTGGGGAGGAATGGAAGTGTCTGGGAAGGAGAAATTGAAACTATCGATAGGTTTAGCAAAACTTTAAATGGCTTCTATGCCAAGTAGTAAATACTCAAGTGGTTAAGAGAATGCGATGATTAATTTTCCAGTTCCTAAATATTTACCCAGTGAATCATCGAATTACATTTCATTCAGATTCGGTGATTAAATGAGACTAATTAACTTAAAACTCATGAAAGTCTTCAATGAAAATTCGCATCCTAGTTAGAGAATCTGGGGAAGGTTACTGAAAAGCTTCTGTGGGGCCACTAGCACCAGTGGGCATATCCCGGAGCAAACACGTCGGAGACACATTTTCCTTTCTTTGTGAACTCTGCCTTAACTCAAAGGTAAAACCTCCAATCACCTCCAGACCTCACTGCAATTTCTTTTGGATTATTTTTTGGAGGTGGGAGGCAATTAAGAAGAGCTAGAGAGAGTTGGGTGGCGGGTGGGAAGCAAGGGCGGGGGGACAGGCAGAGACTTCCTGGGAGGTGTAAAACAGGATCCTAACGCGGTATAAAGTGTCGTTTGGGCAGAGCGGGAAAACTCAGGGGCCTCTAGATGGCTTGTTTCCTTTGATGATTTCAAAAAGGTACAACCCTCTCAGTTTTTCTAAAACGCGCCGGCAAGCAAACATTGTTCGATATCCCCACCTTGCTCTCGGGCAGCTTTGGGACTCTAGGGTAATTTTCTAACCGGCCAATTTGCCACGAAGGAAGCACTTCTAAGGCTAAGGACTGAAGAAAATTTAAAAGCCCGCGGAAGCGAAGTTTAAATGTTTTCAATGGACATGTCCGGCTCCAGCCCTGCCCGCCAAGGCTTGGAAATTGCAGCGAACAAAACCCCCGCCCTGGGCGCTGCGCGCAGCCCTGCAAGCGCCGGCTGCACGCTTAATTGGTTGCATCCGCAGACAAAACCCTCCACTCCGCGGGGTCCGGGGCGCCCCTCAATCGTCCCCTCCCAACCCCCAGCCAATGGCCCTGGAGTAACGCACTTAATGTCTGAAGCTCTGAGGCGCGGGATCCAGGGGCAAAAAGGACCCGGGGCGCTTGGCGAGGAAGTGATCCTAGCTACGGTGCACCCTTTCGGACATTACTTTCCATCGCGCCCTGGCCAGACGAGCTAATCCCGTCCCTTGCGGACCCAGACTTTCCTGTAGCCCCTTCTCCGGGACACCTCGGCGGCGCCGCCGCGTTTAAAGAGCCCGGAGAGGACCGAGCGGGCCCACGAGTTCTTTGTCGGGAGGGCGCGAGTCTCGAGCCACAGAGAACTTTGGAGAAGGCGCCAAGGGGGCGGCTGCGGCGTGCCAGACCGGGCCCGCTAGCAGCCCGGGTTGGCGGGAGAAAGAGCCAACGAACTGCCCCCAGGACTTCAGCCCCACCAACTCTGCCCCTCCGGAGCACCCTTGCCCCTCCACCCTCGCCACCCCCCCCGGCACTTCCTGCCTCCGGGGCAATTGTAAAGCAGTTAGGAAAGCGCCTGGCGAGCCCTGGATGGTCGGACCCCCGCCGCTTCCAGTCACCGGGAGCCACCGCGACACGCAGGGCGGTGCACAATAGCGAAAGTCCGAGGACGCGCTTCTCCCGACCCCACCTCCCGCCTCTGCCCGGCCGCCCGCCTCGGGTCCCCACATCCCCGCCCCGAGAGGCGCGGGCGACCCGGGGCTCAGCAGTGCACCGGACTCCGTAGCCCGCCCCCCGGCCGGCGGGCAGCGTGTGGCGGCCGCGGCGACTGGACTCCCGCGCTCGGGTGGCTGCGCGTCGCGGGGCCCTTGCAGAGGGCGCGGAGGTGGGCTGGTGCTCCCACCCCGCCTGGGTACTGACTTGCTGCTGCTTCCTGGGTCGGCCGCGTCCTCTCTTCTGAGGCGCCGGGGCGGCAGGTTGTCCCTGGGCTGAAGTGGACGGCTGCCCGGCGCCTTCACCGCGTGCGCTCATCCTGCCTGCCGCCGCCGCCGCTACCGCTGCCGCCGCCGCTGCTACCGCCGCTGCAGCCGCTTCGCCTCAGCTGCCCCCAATCGGCCCAGCACCTTTCGGGAGAGTGGTTGATAGGGCTGGAGAATGAGGCAGGGTGAGCGAAAGCTGGCGTGCTGCGAGGGCTGCTGCTTAGGCTGCCGCCGCTGCCACCATCAACACCGGACGTCCAGCGGCTGCCAAAAAGAGAGAAGAGGGGAGGAGGAGGAGGAGAGAAGGAGGCGCTGCTGGTGGCGGCGGCAGCGGTGGGTGGGTGCCGGAGGTGGAGGTGGCGGTGGCGGTGGCGGTGGAGGTGGAGGTAGCGAGAGGAGGAAAGCAAGGGAGAAGAAAAAGAAGGTTTGAAGTTGGGAGGCTCCCCTTTCGGTTTGGGATCAGGAGTTGCGATCACCGGGAGCACTTCGGAGACGGCTTGGAAAGGGAAGAGACTTGGATTGAATTGTGTCCCTTGAAACGTTAGGCGGGGAAAGAATTCCTCCTCCTCTTCCCCCCCGCTCCGCTCTCGCAGAGCAAGAAAGAGAAAGAGAGAAAACAAATAGCGCCTTGGGCAGTCGGGAAGCCGGGGAGGATGGGGAGATTCTGCCGGGACCGGGTCGGGCACTGAGCGCAGACAAGGGACGAGCAGTGGGTGGCACCGCGCCTCCTCGGGTGGCTTGAGCAGGCGGCAGCGGCACCGAAGAGTCGGAGGGGGACGGGCTGCTCGCTCCTGCGTCCTGCACCAAGTGCGCTCTGCCCCGGCTGGAAGTTTTCTGAGTTCCTGCCCCAGGATTCAAGTGGGATGAGTGTGTGCGTGCTTGGGGAGGGGGCGGTAGGGTGGGGGTGGGGGGTAGTGCCCACCTCTAATCGTGGGCGGATAAAGGGGAGGGGGCTGCGCAGGAGGAAAAGTATGAGGAGGAGGGAGGCCAGGCGGACCGCGGAGCCAAGGCGCCTGGCCTCGGGCCAGAGGCAGCGTTCGAAATACAACTGCCTCGGCGGCGGCGGCGCCCGGGTGCCACCCGGAGCACCACTCACGTGTTCCCGCCGGGCGGCGGGGTTAAAGGGACAGGCCGGGAATCCCCGGCCGGCTCGCCGCCGGCCTCGCCCCTCCCGCCGCCCGAGGTCGCCCCTGGGCGGTTGTCCTAGGAAGGCGCGGGAATGTGATGGTCCCAGAGCCGCCTTTAGGGGCTTGGCCTTTACCTGCACCTCCACGATGCGGAGCCAACACTCCGCAGGAAGCGTTTAGCTGCACGCGCGGCAGAGTTCTAGGTCCCTGTGAGTGGGAAGGAACTGAAGAGGAGTAGGAGCTAGCCTGCGGCAGCCCTGCTCTGCCTCGGAATGCCCTCATCACAGACCGCAGGACGCGGCGCGCGCGCGCGCACACACACACACACAGATATGCACGCAGACACACAAGTGCAAGCAGATACACGTGCACACTCGCACAGGCACATGCATGCATAAACACGCACGTAAACAAACATGCGCAAACTTACACGCACACATGCACGTTGATATACATGCACATTAGCAGATACATACACACGTGCAAACAATGTGCACACGCACACTGAGCGCGCCGGTCTCTTCATTGAAATTTTTCTCGGGGAAAGACTAGAGGCGACGTAAAGTCTCCCCCCCACCCCCCGCCCCGCTCCCCCAAACCCCACCCCCACCACCGGCTGGCGCTAAACACCCGGTTCCGACGCTTTCAGAGTAGAGGGTTTACCCCGCGCGGGGACCTCCTGAGCTTCCTAAATCACAATTGTGCCAACTGTCCAACTCTCCCTTCAATTTACCTCGATTTAACCTTCTCCTTAGGAACTCCCTTTCTGCCAAGTCCTAATTTTATAGCTTGGGCTGTTTCAGAGTTATGTGAACACTATAATGACCACAGTCCGTTTTAAAAAGGTGGAGTACATTTTAAAATGTGCCTCTTTTCATCCTTGAATAACAAAACACTCAAAAAAAATTAGGTTCAGATTTTCACACATCAAACCCAAAATTATTTTGGATTAATTCCAAAATAAAAGCTTTCACCCGAGGAAGTATTTTTTTCCACAAAAAAATACAGACCACCGTGGAATAAAAAACGCCTACTTTACAGCCCTAAGCAGGGAGTTAGGCACCGCCAGGTTCCGCTGAGCCTGTGGAGGAGGTGCGTGTAAATGTCTGCTTCGGCACGGCAGCGCTGATTGGTCCGCGTTGCCATTTTAAATCCATTTCCAGCTGCCCTTTGCAGAGCTGGGACACTTAGCTGCACGTTGAGTGCCCTGCAGAAACCCAGGGTTTCTCCTGGGTCTGGGAACGCTTAGCTGTGATAGAGACGGAGAGCCCCCATCCCTCCGGATGGAGCCCAGCAGCTGACTGGGGAGGGAGAGTCTAACAGGAACGAAAGGTTTTCTGCCAGGGCTTGGCTGAAAGATGGTATCTTCATCAAAGGGTTTGAAATTTCACTTACTAACAATTGCAGTGACACTGCCTAACTGCCAAGTTTGCACGTTTTTTCATGTGATCACATTCGCACTGTGGTGCACATTTTACATACACACACCAAATGGGCTTCTGGGTATGTTTTTGTTTGCTTCCTTTATGCAAGGACTACACATAAAATTCTAAGATCCAATCTAAGGGTAATCATTGAAGATTTCAGCCAGCAAGTGTTATACTGGGTGCATTATATCCTCGAATTTTTGTTGTTGTTTGATTGATTTTTTTTTTTTTTTTTTTTAATATTCACGGAGGCCAGCAAGGAGGAGATTCCAAAATTTTATTTTTGGATTAATCCTTAACTCTAAGAAAAGCACAGAAAAACTGGGATTAGGAGAGTGTCTAGCCAATTGTTTTCAGGTCCCTGTCACTTAGATATCAGACTACTTGACTCCTTCTGAATTTATAACAAGAATATAAAAATATATATTTCATCCAGTTTTGTCTAGTTTTTTATTTAATTTTTTTAGGTTTCTGTATATTTTCTGTAAGGGAAACATTAAAATTTATTTTCATCTTTGAAATTATTTGAGACCTTAAAATGGTATTATATATCTTATTAAGTTAAATGGTTATATTTTAATTTAAAGAATGGATTTTTTTTTTTTTTTTACATTTACATCTGAGGGATTTTTTTTTCCAGTTTGAGTTGTTCAGTTGTTCACTTCCTTTCCTTTATCTCATTATACTTCAAGACTAAACTCTTATTTCTAATTTGAAAACTTTCCAGGTAGGGTTTTTTTTTGTTTGTTTTTTTTTCCATATAAAACTATTTCTTGTCTTCTGCGCTTACTATCAAACCAAACAGTTAGCACCTTGGTTGTATATGTTAAAGGTTTTTAATTATCTGCAATATATGATTTCATGTTTAGACTAGGTCCCCTCATTAGTGAGTGGTAAAGTGAACTCAGTGAATCCATAACATCATTTAGAAACAATAAATTGAGTGCAATAAATAATATCCCATGTACCAAGTTATATAGTACATGTGTATAAAAGTTGTATCCAGATGCTTTTTTCCACCTTTTCACATTTTGGAAATTGGGATGTATCTTAGAGTTCAGGATATCTTAGCACTGTGTTATCACATTCTAGACAGCATCTTTTCTATTTTAGTAACATACATAATACTGATGTGTTTTATAATCAATAGCACCAAAGATCAGAGAAATATATGCATGTGAAATCTGTATCTTAGCATGGGTTGCAGTGTCACATGAATAAATGATGCTGACTTTGTTGTGAGAACTGGTTTCCTTACAACTTCACCAAACCAGCTCTGTGGCCTTCGGTCAATCATTTCTCCTCCCTGTATCTCAATGTTCTCATCTCTAAAATGAAAGATCAGTATACTCTCTGAAGGTTCTTTCAGTTCTAACACATATACTCTCTTGTTCTCTAACTGTGTCCTGTTTATATGTGAATTGTACATAAATTCTGTGGAAATAGGCAATATTTCTAATGCCTGTCCTTTGTACTAGTTTTGTTTTGGTAGTGTTCATAACAGACTTTTGGTCCTTACTAATTTATTGCTGTGACAAAGTTACTCTTACTAAGTTGCCATTTTACAAATGTACCACAGGAGGATAAAAGCATTACATGTGCTGAAATACCCTCAGAGTCCTTTTGCTAAAGGAAGATGTATCTCTGATGAGGTGAAGTTCTCACACTGCACTTTATCATATTATATTTATACTTTAATAATACACAAGTTAAAGAATAATTTAAGAATTCTCTCAGATTGGAACTGATTAAATTAATGTATTTTATATGTATTTAAACAGATTGATTATAACCAGATTTTTGGAAGTGAATCTATATAAGGCCACAGAAAAAAATTACCACTAATATTTATGGAACAATGCTATACACACACACACACACACACACATACATATACACACACACATATGTATGAATGTATAGTATATAGAAGCTCAGTATAGTACAAGGTAAATATATATTTCTAAAAAATATTTCTAGTGTTTTAACATGAACTCATTTGTACTGCTCAAACTCACAATTTTAGAGATTGTGTCTTTTAAAATATGCTTAGTATTGCCCAGCCAGTGTGGCTCAGTAGTTGAGCGCCGACCCATGCACCAAGAGGTTGTGGGTTCAATTCCCAGTCAGAGCACATGCCCAGGTTGTGGGCCCGATCCCTAGTGGGGGGCATGTAGGAGGTAGCCAATCAATGTTCTCTGTCATCGATGTTTCATCTCTCTCTCCCTCTCCCTTCCTCTCTTTCTAAAATCAATAAAGAAAAGAAGAAAATATGCTTCATATTTAATGAAATGTAGGAGAGATTACCTCTAAAATCTTTCCTACAGTATAACCAAGAAAGAATATATGCTGCCAACTTAACCTTTTGGTGGTTTGTGGGAGGGAAGTGACGTGGACAGGCTTTCTCATTCCCTAGACAGAAGATCACCAAACAAAATAAATTTGCCCGCTCACTTATTCAACAAACATATATTGAGTTGGTCTTGCAGTAATCTCATCTGCCATTCTCTCTGTCTCAG